GCAATTAAACAGATTTGTATCTTTGCACTTGCTCATAAGTAGGTGTATTTGAACATTACCATATTTTCATTCTTTGTACTTAGACATTTAACTATAATTTGTACATTTTCATAGAAAAACACCTAAGCATACTTCAAAAGCTATATTTTCACTATGTCAACATAATTTCCATTAAGATTGTATCTTGTATGAAATGTATTTCAGCCCTTGGAATTTCATGACTTGCATAAATGTATATTTTATCACAGGTTTTTCCAATTAAAGCACATCACAACGTGCTACCCCACAGCATTACCAGCACAAATTGCTAAGTAACTGTCTCAAACCAAGTTCATTTCATTTATTTCTTCCACATAATGTAAGTTCCTAGGGCAATTCTTGCTGTCTCTAAATAACATAGGAACACAGACAGAACAATGGCATTGAATTAGAAGCTAGATTCCGTCTTCCTGTTCCACAAGCCATCAAGAATGAGAGTTCCTAAAGCCATCAAGAATGAGACAAATTGTATTTGTCTCCAACAAATACAATTTGTTTGTAATGAAGCTGAACAGTAAAGTGTGATTCAATTTCTAAAAAACATTACTTTAAAATTAGGAGTATAACCCCCCCCAAAAAATTTTTTTAGAAGTTTCATAGGGTGGAGTCTTGGGGGCGCAGCAGTTAAAATGAAGTATTGCAGGCTAAGTCTGCCCACTGCCAGTTTGATCTTAACAGGCTCAAGGTTGATTCCGTCTCCCCATCCTTTCAAGATCAGTAAAATGAAGATCCAGATTGTTGATGCAATATGTTGACATTTGTAAACCGCTTAAGAGTGCTGTAAAGCACTGTGGAGTGGTATCTAAGTCTAAGTGCTACTGCTATTGCAATTGCTTTCATATTCTGAGAGTTCCTTTGAATTGCGAGATGAGTCACACATACATTTCATAATAAAAATCTGACAATATTCTTTTTTTTTCTTTAGTGTTTAACATTTATATCAAACCTAAAAGTCATTACAGGTAGTTTTTGACTTATGGCCAGTCATTTAATGACCCTTTGTAATCGCTATAGCCTTGGAATGAGTGCTTTACTAGCCACCATAAAATGTCACGCTGAGGGTGCCCGTCACATGATTGCATTTTGGGCACTTGGCAATCTGTTTGCATTTACAACCGGTTGCCAAGTGCCCTACGATCATGTGATCACCAATTGCAATTTTTCTGCCACCTTCCTCAGAAAGTCAAGAACCATAAGGGAAAGTTGCAAGTAAAGAGGATACTGAATTTGAGGTTCATTCCTCCAGCACTTCAAGAGATGTCCCCTGTCTTCCATGCAGTGAGGAAAATCCTTCCACATCCTGAAGGAGACCTTAAATCTGACAAAAATGCTAACTAACAGCAGGGTTCTTGTGATAATTCTCCCCAGTAAGGGAGAATTAGCCTGCTGAACGACTGCAACTGGTACAGTCAGGATGGCAACTCTTGAGCAAAGTGGTCATGTGGCATCTCATTTAACAACTGCTTCATTCAACAAACAAGACTGTGGTTGTTTCAGTCCAACTGTGGTTGTAAGTGGAGGAACTACCTATATCTGTATGCAAATTCTTAGTAATCCTTAAAATTCCATAACTTCAACCAATATTATAAATATATTTATCTATGATAAATATACATTGATGTTTGGCAATAATCTTCCACATTTTGCATTTCATGTGTTTCTTTCACATCACTTTTATTTCAATTCCGTTTCTTGTCAAAAATTCTAAAGAACTAATATTTTTCAAACAAAATCTTCCGCCATTACAGCCTTTTTTAAAAGCTGTTATCCATTCAGAATTCAAGAAACTAACATCATACATAGACATTTTAAGTAAGTGAGCAAAGATGCTTATCACCATGGAGACCTTTGCACAGTTTCTTATGTTCCCATCAGACCTCGGTGACATACACTGAACTAAAAGCAGCATTTTTATATATTTTCAATTATATTCTCCACAGAATCATCATGGCAAAATAAATCTGTTCTTATAACTCCATGTCCAGTTATTTCTGGACTAAAATAGCACTTGGTCTTACCTGAACTGTATTTCTCATAAGCTTGTGGAAGGAATAGGAATAGGAATAAGTTTATTTATAGGCCGCCCTTTTCCCTGAGGGGACTCAGGGCGGCTAACAACTTATATGGGAGGGGGATACATACAGTAACATATAACATAACACGTAATTAAAAGAATAAACAACATTCATTCAGCATTCGGGTGGGGGCGAATCAAATCTTTACCCCCAGGCCTGACAGGATAGCCATTTGTCTATTCTTTAGAGAAATCTGCTTGAGCTA